CAGTAAACTAATCATTAGGGTACATTACGAGTCACGTTAGGCCTATTTACAGTTCAAAATTAGACAAAGTTTATTAGTTTGCAGCCTGACTACAGTATTTTTGTCATTCATTTAACATTTATGACCTAAAAAAACAGTTAATTGTGAAATATTTAGTTTAGCTACTTACATCTTATACTGCCCCTGACCCTAAAACTCATGCTCAGCAGCTTGTGTGAGCATAAAGCCCGCCTACTTTGATTTTGATTGGTCATCTCAAATATTCTGACATTGACGAGCAGTGACAGACCAAATGAGGCTCAGATAAACACACACACCGTCCTGTTTCTGACGTGCGCCGCTGCGGATTGAAGATGAAGAACGCGCTGAATCTGATTACAAGACTGAAGTGAACATCAATTTGTGTAGCCTGAAGTCTAATTCCCTCCAGGTTTTCCTATGGGGGTTTTCAATATACGAATAAATAAGGTATGTGGTAAACATAGCTTGATGATTCTTGGACGTTTAATTCTACAATTTATATCGCACACACTCACACCATTCTTAGAAACAGAATTATTTTTAATTAAACATAAAATTGGCTTTTTTCGATATTAGTGCGTGAAATTTACATTACAGATCAAACGTCCAAGTATCGCCAAGTTATGTTTACCAGCACGGGCCTCGCTTGTTTTCAGCATGAATGATGCAGAAAAACACACAAAACACTTCTAAAACGGGAAAGAGCTTTGAGACTGACTGTACAACTACATTTAAAAAGAAAGAAGAGGTATATTTTTAGACTGCTGAAATCATTGCAATTCATAGAAACAGGCAGTGAAATGTGGATTTGCAGTTATCATTCGGTGTCAATATGCTGAATTTAGGGGTAAAATCATACCCTATATATTGTATTGTTATATACTGTATTGACAACTCATCAATTCAATATTTACCATTGTATATTCTGCATAATTGGATGTTTTTAAATTAACACTGACAAAAAAACTATGCAAGACTTATTGATGGACGATATGATGATATAGGCTTTATAAGTGAACAGACCTACCTATATTATATTTATATAAAGCGTTCACAGGCATGTTTGCTTTATGCATTGAAATCAGGCTCATATAAATGTGAGGAAACACGATTCCTGCTGCATGTCAATATTCATAATCAGTGGATCTCTGCTAAGTTGTAAGGAACACTATATCGAGTCCAACCTTTCGTTTAAACTGATAATAGTTTGTTTTACTGGTGTTTTCCTCTATTAAATCCAGTCACACAGCAGCTCTGACACTCTGAGGGAGTGTGTTCCTGCGGGAAAGTGACATCAATGCATAACCTCTATACTGAAAAACAAGCGTGTGAATAATCAGTGAAATTGGGAATGTGCAAATGGAGAGCCATAATTTACATCACAACGCAAAGAACAAAACTGCAACAATCATTTTTTATGCTTTACATGGAGTGTGACGCACAGTCTATTTATTACATGCCAAAGCATGCACAAACTTCAGAACGAATCCCAGATGTATTCACATTCAATTGGCAGAATATGACTCACCAGACACATAAAAATTGTATTCCAGTCCACGGCTGATTCAGGCTGCTCATACGATGCCACTCCAGCACAGCATGGCTTCGGCAAGAGACAAATTCCTTTCCATATTTCCATACGTCTGTAAAACCTTTTCAGATTTTACATACGCAGCCCCAAAATCAGTTAAGGTCAGCTATAATGAAAGGTGTAATGCTTTTCTGACATGAAAGTGCACAGTTCAGCAGAATCAGTGTTGGAGCTGACTTAAACAATCATGGTGTCAGGCCAACAGGCCAGTCAGATCGACCCAATCAGCAGCAGATGTCAAACCATGTTGAAGAAACTCAGTGAATTATAAATGAACCGTGCTTGGGGCCAAACTAGACAATATATGAAGGGGACTTCTATGGAAAGCAGCACAAATGTCCTCTGGAGTTTGTACAGGTCAGAAAATCTGTAATGCAATCGCAAGAAAGTGCATCAGGTATTCTATTAATTTCACTTTAAGGGCGAATGACTTTGCGACATTTAAACTGAACGTCTGTGATTCAAAGCCTGACAGGAAATTACTCTCTCACTCCCAACAATGTGAATAGATCAGACAGTGTTTTCTCTGTGCATGGGGGAACGAAAAAAAAATCTGTCCTTGGTTCTAAGCGGCACTTCCATCTTTTCATATAACCTTGTAAACTATTAGACGTTAATGGAAGGAGATTGCACCCAGTCAATAAGGTTTGATTGAATCCTGCCACACTAAAACACTACATTAGTGCACAACTAGTTTGGTCTAAAAATACAAATGTAGCTCCAAGATGACGCAGGATTTCAATGAACAGCCACGGGAGGAAATTGATTGTGAATGGTGGGGTGCCACTGATTTCGTTTTTTACAGAATAAGGCCATATTTGAGACATGAACGATGCCAGCTAATGAAGAACGCCAGTTGTTTCTAAAAATTACTCAACCCATGTAGAATCTTTAAAGGGGTGGTAAAATGCCATTTTCACAAGATGTAAAATAAATCTCTGATGTCCTCAGAGTGTGTGTGTGTGTGTGTTACGTTTTAGCAAAAAATACCCCACAGATATTTTTATATAGCATGTTAAAGTTTTTGAGGATTTGCAAAAACACACCGTTATGTGCCTGGCCCTTTAAATGCAAATGAGCTGCTACAGAGGTCGGGACTTCAGGGGGTGGAGCTGGGTAGGTTTAGGGGTGGGTTTAGGGATCAGGGGGTGGAGATGGGTGGGTTTAGGGGTGGGGTTAGGGATCAGGGGGTGGAGCTGGGTAGGTTTAGGGGCGGGTTTAGGATGAGGGGGAGGAGCTGGATATGTTTAAGGGTGGGGTTAGGGATCAGGGGGTGGAGCTGGGTAGGTTTAGGGGTAGGTTTAGGGATCAGGGGGTGGAGCTGGGTAGGTTTAGGGGTGGGTTTAGGGATCAGGGGGTGGAGATGGGTAGGTTTAAGGGTGGGGTTAGGGATCAGGGGGTGGAGCTGGGTAGGTTTAGGGGTGGGTTTAGGGATGAGGGGGTGGAGATGGGTAGGTTTAGGGGTGGGTTTAGGGATGAGGGGGTGGATATGGGTAGGTTTAAGGGTGGGGTTAGGGATCAGGGGGTGGAGCTGGGTAGGTTTAGGGGTAGGTTTAGGGATCAGGGGGTGGAGCTGGGTAGGTTTAGGGGTGGGTTTAGGGATCAGGGGGTGGAGATGGGTAGGTTTAAGGGTGGGGTTAGGGATCAGGGGGTGGAGCTGGGTAGGTTTAGGGGCGGGTTTAGGATGAGGGGGGGGACTGGATAGGTTTAAGGGTGGGGTTAGGGATCAGGGGGTGGAGCTGGATAGGTTTAGGGGTGGGTTTAGGGATGAAGGGGTGGATATGGGTAGGTTTAAGGGTGGGGTTAGGGATCAGGGGGTGGAGATGGGTAGGTTTAGGGGCGGGTTTAGGATGAGGGGGGGACTGGATAGGTTTAAGGGTGGGGTTAGGGATCAGGGGGTGGAGATGGATAGGTTTAGGGATCAGGGGGTGGAGCTGGGTAGGTTTAGGGATCAGGGGGTGGAGCTGGGTAGGTTTAGGGATCAGGGGGTGGAGATGGATAGGTTTAGGGGTGGGTTTAGGGATCAGGGGGTGGAGCTGGGTAGGTTTAGGTATATGTAAGGTGGGAGGAGTCGGATCTAGATCCGACTCCTCCCTGTGGATTTCATGTTCTGCAGTGAGAACCAGTTTGAGCTGACTCACAAATGTACTCTAATACAACCACTCTTTCTCTTCTCTTCATGGACTGTGTTCCCGGGGACAGGGTTTATGCACATTTTAGGTTTGGTGACGTCACTAACCCGGGAGGAATGTCGTGTAGTCCCTACCAGCCGTTTGTTGTAGTCCTTTTCTTTAAAAGCAAATATCTTCCTTTGCTTTGAACTTTGAATGTTGTAACTTTGATAAATGTTGTTTGTACTCAAACAGCAACATTACACACTAACTAAAGTTAAAAAAGTGAAATCATACTTTACCACCCCTTTAAAATGTAGGAACTTTCAAGACAAACATGAAGTCAATGCTAATGAAATATTCATGCTATATTGTCTATAAAACTCTGTATTGGCCTGATGTTAAACTTCAGTTTATCAACATCGAAGCCCTAAACAACCTCATCTAAATATGCCAGGCATCACAGCTGAAATGCAACCCTATAAATAACCTAAATATTTACAGGAATAATGGTTGAAATAAAACCTTTAGTTTTTAGTAGATTTAGTGTTTTCAATAGCATTCGCCGTTAAAGCTGTATAAAACTCCTAGATAATTTATCATTTTTCACAGGTCATAATGCCAGGTGTTTTTTTATCTGCTGAAATTTACTGGAAATATCATTTTTGCAGTGTTTCATTAGCAGAATAATCCAAAAACACAATAGATCACAGTACACGCATATCTATCCCTCACAGCCTCGCTTTCATTCCTGTTAAGATGTAAAGATGTCGCTGCTGTGAATAAGGTCTGTTGGATCAAGATCAATGTTATTAACATATTTAAATATACAATTTATTTAACATATTTCATGATTAATTATATCACACTTCAAAAGGAAGTTTAATTTATCTTTGTGTGAGGTTGAGAAACAAAATTGAACAAAACTGAAATGCATGGCTTTTCCAATAGCACTGCTGTTTACAAGAAGCAGCTCCTAAAGCTCACATGTACTTTAAATAAAATTCAAGCAAGACTACAAGAAAACCATGCAACCCTACCATGAATATTGGGCTATTTTGCCTGTAAGCAACCACCCACAAAGTTCTCCACAAGAAAGCAGCGCTCGCTTTGTCTGCAGTAAAGGTGAAAATCTACTGTGAAACAGTGAGGACTACAGAAATATAAGACGCAAGAACATCCACACATAAATCCCATTGTATATTGCTGCGGATACATTAAGAGAAACTGATCTTAAGGCACAAATTCTCTTTCATCCATCAGCGGACGGCCCTGAAGAGACACCCTTCAGCTGTGCCTCTTTAAAGAGTCCATCAAAGAAAGCACAGGCTGCATAGAGATGATAAGTGACAGAAAAACAGCGTCATTAGACAAAACGTCCAAGTGACTTCTAATCTATACCTCCCACCAAAAACAGGATTTGAGGAGCTAGTAGTAAAGCCAATCATTCCTGAAGGGTTAGGAGTCGATTTTAATCGCCATGCCCGTTTCATTCTTACATTTATATTATGATGAAACACCATTGCTGAGAAATATCCAAGTGTTTTTACAAAGACTCCCACAATGTTTTCTTCACAAATAACCTTGGGGGTTGAAAAAATAATGGTGCACTGAAATGATTTAATAGAAACTATTTTTATGTTATGACAGATGCCCAATGGTTGTTGATACTGTATAGTTAAAGGGGACATATCATGCAAAATCCACTTTTTTAGCCCTTAAATGCATTTTGTTGTATATTTGGAGTGTTTATAAGTACAGAAAAGATGAAATTATTCTCTTCAGGTGATTCGTTTATATCTTTATATTCTGTTTTGGTCATATTTTTCAACCTGTTCAGATTTTTCTGTTTTCTATGACGTTTTTTGAACTATCACGTCACCGTATTTGCAGCAGAACTGCCAAATAAGGACATTGACTACCGGGCCGACACTTCGAGGAATCCGCCATTATTATTTCTCGCTCCGATTTTGTAGTCCGAGCTCAATGATGCAGAAGTTACGAGAGGGCAAGTCAAAATGTTCGGTTTTTGGATGTACGTTAGTGACCTGAAGCACTTCGAGGATTCCCACTTCAACAGTATAAAGAAGGGTTTGCCGACTGACTTCGTCTGAATGAGAGGTAACGTTAAATTCCTTCTATCTTTGGAGACGACGAACAGAGCATTTCGATAAGCTGTAAATATCGTTAATAAAAATAAAGTACTTTACTTTCTTAAAACACATGGTGGTCATGGTTTAGCAGTACCTTTGTCTTTCTTTGTTTTGGTTTTGAAGTAACGTTACACGTCTGCAGTATTATTGTTCTTGAGTTTCATCAATGGTCATTTAGCTGCGTTGTTTTCTGATGCTTTTCTAAACGCATCATATTATCAATACAGATTGTTTGTGGTAAGATTAGACCGTAGTCATTTATCTGGTCAGTGTGCTTGTTTTAACAAGAGAAATAGTCGACTTTCACTAATAACACAAAACAGTTAACTTACATATCAATATATCCATATGATCAAGTTGTTCTGTAGGTTTGTCGTCGTCTTTATCGACTCGCTCGCTCTGGCTTGAATATGTAAGGCTTGATGGACAAGTCTTCTGTTGTTGACATTTTATTAACGTGTGAATAAAAATGTTCTTTGAAGGTATCGTATATAATCGTATATCTCTAATCAAACTACAAAAATGGCCGAACGCGGAGAGTTGAACCGACCGTGAACTCATCGACGTGGAGAGTGGGCGGGGTATGACGCATCTCCTTTTTATTTAAAGGGGCCGCTTTGAAACGGGTCGCTCACAGACGCACATCAGAAAAGGGGCCTGTGGAGCTATAATAATGAGGAATTCAGACCCAAGGATTGCAGTTATGCTTTATATAGACCACAACATTATGATTTATATGTAAAAATGACCAAGTATGTACCAAGTATCTGTGCAACCCCTACTGAAATGTCCATATTATATGCATCCACACAAAAGGCATGATCTGTTTTGGCTCACCTGCCGGCGTCAGCAGATGTGATGGCGATGAGCGGGGGGATGCGCAGAGCCAGGGTGGTGGGACGGGCGATCGACTCACTCTCTCTGCTGCTCCAGTCATGTTGCTCGGCTAGCCGGAAGACCAGCGGGGGAAGCTGAAGGGTGCGACTGGAGCGTCTGCGCACTTGGATGTGCTCCATGCCTGGCGGGACGCCTTCCTCTGCCTCGGCTCCTGGGTGCTCTGGGGACCCATCGCACACCTGGCACAACACAAACACACACTTATTAGCGCCCAGGCTTCCACAGAGCTGTGAGAAATAGATCACAGACTGAGAAGGTGTTGAGTGCACAGGCCTACAGATGTGTCTTGGGGTTATGATATTCTGAATGATCCAATCCAATCTGACTTCTGACCTATAATGCAGCCTGAATCATAATCATACTTCTCATTTCTTATTGGTGCGTCCTCGTTGCCTTTCCTCACTTCTTTTAAGCCTTGTTCACACTACATGATTCGGGTTGGACTGTGGGTTCACACTACATGACTTGCTCTCAGTGAAATCAGGAGTGTTCAAGTTGTTTAGCCGTTCACACGACACAACGTGATAGATCCGCAACAGGAGGTAACTCACTACACGAGCTGACAATGCACTACATAGAGATATAACCACGATCGGATGATGAGAGCAAATCATTTGTGACTCAATGAGAGCTGTTTCAGTACTATAGTATACGGTCTAAATCCTGAAAATAATCAAATAAATAACGAGTTGACAACTCTGTCACGCAACGAATCTATCTTGCCTACAAACCACGTTTTGTCACGAAAAAACATGCAATAAAACTAACCAGAAATGACACGAAACAGCACGTGCGCCAATACCCAGTGAAGAAGAGAACACAACACGCGAATATGGACGTCAGACAGAAACTAATGCTGCACACCGTTTGCGCAGCGCAGTCTCATCCCAAGACGTCATATAACTGACGTCTTGGGACGTCTTTTGACCATACGTCAACATCCGCCTTTTTAGGGTACCCTTAAACGTCGGTTAGATGACGTTATCGGATCCTGACCCTACCCCAGACCTAAACCTACCCCTAAACCTAACCGACGTTAAAGGTAAAGCGTCAGTTGTATGACAGCCCGGGATCGTCAACTAACCAAGGTTTAAGGGTACCCTAAAACGGCGGATGTTGACATATGGTCAAAAGACGTCCCAAGACGTCAGTTATATGACGACTTGGGATGAGACTGTTAGTTTGTGCGATGATTTTCTGTGACAAAAAATGCAAAAAAAGTAAACATAAGAGTTACCCAGTGACCTCAACCCATGCCTTGCTCTGATTGGCTGTACTCATGACATCAATGAGGTTGAGTCGCGCGACAGCTCTGGATATCTAGCATGCTAGAAATTTTTCTGGGCTTGGCGGCGCGTCTGCGAGCGTCTTCGCTGCGTTGTTGGCTCTTTCATACTAACAGATTGGCGAGCGTTCATCGCCCGCTAATCCCCCGCGATATCCACGCGATTACACCCTGACCTGTCGGCGAGCTCAACAATTTGCAAATCGGGCTTAAAATCCTGTAGTGTGAACTTGGCTCCATGTATTATACATTGGTATTAGACTTCCTACGATAGCCGCCGGTTACATCTCTTTCCCACGCACTGTCGATTAAAGAAAATCATTTAGCTCAGTTAGAGAAAAGACACTATTAAACTGAACATGTCTGCTTAATAAATCGTGAGTCTGCTCTCAACAAGAGCAGACTGACAAGGTGATGCGGAATATTTGGTGTCAAATCGAAACGTAAAAGCACCTATTTAAGCGAATTTGACATTGCACTGTTTTGTTGTTGTGTTTTTCATTAAGAATAATAGGCTAATGAACTAACCATTCAAGTCATCCACCCCGAATTGGTTTGAAAATTAAACTAAAATGTGCTCGGCCACACGTGTCAACAAAAAAGCGAGCGTTTTCAGTTTATTCCTATGGAAAAGTTTCGTTTTCAAATCAGCACCAAAATGAACGAATCTTTTTCCCGAGTCAACTCATTTACTTCGTTTGTTGAATGAACCAAATCATTTTGATGAACGAGTTTGAACAGGAGAGTCACGAACAAAATGAGCGATCGTTTCGCTTGATAAGACCCTTATTCATCGTCTGGAATCGTTTAAAGCCCTTTGAACAGTTTGCACTGAAACTGTCTTTTGGACCTTGAACTGTTTGGTCCCCATTGAAGTCCATTATATGGAGAAAATACTGGAATGTTTTCAAAATCTTAATTTCTTTTCGATTGAAGAAAGAATGACATGGACATCTTGGATGATATGGGGGTGAGTAAATTATCAGCAAAAGTTTTTTAAAAAATGAACTACTCCTTTAAATTAGCCATTTAAAAGCCTCCGCCGGTGATATTACTTGATCACTCGAGCGTCACTTCACAGTGTCATCAGCGTCATCCTTTTCTCACAATACACATCGTTTTAGCAGCTTTACAGATAACCCACATTACAATTTAGAGTGATCTGTTGTCTGAGGAAACTGTCTTGTTATGCATTTCAGAAAAGTATATATAGCAGTTAGCTTAAAAAAATATTAATTTAAACAATTGAATAATTTAATGCAGAAACAATGAGCTCATTGAAGATTTTATAAATGACTAAGGGGCAGGAAACTACACACACTCTTCCCAGATCAGCCCGTTCTTAAAGTACCAAATCAAAAAGGGAAGATAAAATGACGCAAGTATCATGCAATGCATTAGTCTACTACGGCATGTGTCGATTTCATTCTCTCCTTAATACTCAAATGTCTCAGAATCTCTCAAACTGTGCTCTTAATCTTTTTATCAAATCAAATCTGTTCAGATCTTCATGTGGTCAAAATCATAATAAAAGCATAATAATAAATAAGACCTAAAGCACATCCCAACCCCATTGCATCTGAAAGCTAGTAACCAATATATATGCCGATAAATGTATATTTTTTAGAAAAACAAAACAAAGGTCTCACCATTAAAAGCCCTCTCCCAAACATTTCAACATAAACTAATTTCTATTTCACTCCCATGATCAACTTTCCTTACCAAAAAAAACCCCAAATAATTCTTATCAGCTTTAATATATCGGCCAAATCTTCACATTGGACCGATACCGATAACATCAAAAATGAACATATCAGCCGATACTGATTTTCCATCCCTAATAACAATGTTTTTTTTCTTTATTTAACTAAATAAAAAGCAGTACACCAAAAGCTATCATGATATATTTCCAATATGATCCTAAAATAGGCTTCCTTTTCACCAAGCAAAATCTGATTTTAGGGTGAAAAACGACTTCAAGCTTCATGAGATTCATCCTAGTATAAATAGATTTGCAGAAAATGAGTCGGTGGTTATAATGGAGGCACGACCCCAAGATGAATTTCCAAATTAAGTAAATTAATTTCCTTAAAGAGTATGTCAAACCTCTTGGGATTCTTGGGGCTATGAGTCTAAATTTAATCAGCCCAGAGATTGTCCTTTATTTTGTCATTTCGGTAAAAACTTTGAAAAAAGAAAAGGTTTTCTTAAAGGAGAACTCCGGCGCAAAATGAACCTTTGGTCTAATTACACATTGTTACCTAGTCAACCGTTCTCTGAGATTTGTTTTCATGATTGCCGAGTGTAAATAGTTTTATCTCTAAAAACAGTTTAGCCTATAACGCTAGTATAACGCTAGTATATGGGGCATGGAGTAATGACAAATAAAAATCGCTTGTTATTACCACTAACAAGGCTCAAAATAGCCCCACACTAACACGACAGCATAATAAGGGTCTCTACATTCAAACCGAAGCATTGAGAACTTTGTTAGTGTCCATACAGTTTAATAAGAAGATATTTTATACACACAGTCAACTTCGTGAATACAGGAAGAAGCCATCTTTGAAAAATAGTCTCTACCAGTCGATCTACGAACGCCGATCCAAGTGCGCTGAACTGTGCAGAATCTCATATGGTCCGTTGTTTTCGGAAGAAACACAAACACGAACTGTTTTCTTCTCTTCAATATGTACACGTAGACTACTGTTCGCGCTCACCTTATCACCTTATTCACATCTCACCAGCGCACTTGGATCGGCGTTCGTAGATCGACTGGTAGAGACTATTTTTCAAAGATGGCTTCTTCCTGTATTCGCAAAGTTGACTGTGTGTATAAAATATCTTCTTATTAAACTGTATGGACACTAACAAAGTTCTCAATGCTTCGGTTTGAATGTAGGGACTCTTGTTATGCTGTCGTGTTACTATGGGGCTATTTTGAGCCTTGTTAGTGGTAATAACAAGCGATTTTTATTTGTCATTACTCTATGCCCCATATACTAGCGTTATACTAGTGTTATAGGCTAAACTGTTTTTAGAGATAAAACTATTTACATTCGGCAATCATGAAAACAAATCTCAGAGAACGGTTGACTAGGTACCAATGTGTAATTAGACCAAAGGTTCATTTTGCGCCGGAGTTCTCCTTTAATGGAACAAATATGCAACAAATTCATTATAAATTTAGCCATCTCGTCATATTTTTGTAAAGCACTTAACTTAATATTTTCCATGAGGAGACGTACTTAGTTTAGCTTTACAAAACAATCAGACTCATTGTGTCCAAAGCAAGCAGGGGGGGGGAAAAGCCAAGAAAAGATTGTGTTTTCTGGGATTATGGTCGTTAATTATTAATATGTCAAACATTCTGCCATGCCTCATTATTAATGGGACATTTAAAGGGATATTTCGGCAAAAGGGATAAAATTCTCTCATCATTTGCTCCCCTGTTCAAAACCCGTATGAATTTCTTTCTTCTGTTGAACACAAAAGAAGATATTTTGAAGAATATGGGCAACCAAACATATTAAAAGAAATTGTGTGAACTAACCCTAGAAGTAAGCACAAATTCTCCAGAATAAATCAAATCGATTGTGCTCTCTGATAATGAAGGTGACCGAGAAGACCGGGAACAAAGAAAATACAATATTCACACACAATACAATACTCTTAATTCCCCAGGTATACTCTCTGGAGAATCACCTAACAGCCTGAGTTCACATTACGAGCAATTTCCCCAAAGAAAGGGAACCAATATGTGTGCCGAATCCCATGGGACTGTTGAACTGTGCCTCAGCGAGAGGGAAAGCATGCTGTCAGAGGAAAGGTAACGAGGCCTCTGTGTTTGTATTTCCCAAGCTACAACTTACAAAGAGAAAGATTTCATTGGAA